AGAAATCAATCCAGACAGTTAATAGCCAGTGTAACCACGTATCGTTTTGAAGCACAGCTTTGTTTTTTCTAGGCATTGATGAAATTAATGCACGCAAGTCCCTACTGGGACATTATACCATACTTTTTGAGTATTTATCTACAATTAAATTTTTGTCTTGCTTTAGGAAACATGACATTTTTGTCCTCTTCCGGATTGAGGCCGAGAAAGTGAGTTGGCCTTGTTAGAGGTCATTATCCTGCAGAGATTTTCGTATTAGAGACTTATTTGCCTTTCGCATGCGGTAACATCACAATGTCCAACAAGTCTTTATGTACGAATCAATCCATAATGCTTGCTGAGATTGCCAAACGGACGTCCATCCAAGAACAGCAACTCCACATCATAAGTTTTCTTCCGTCACGCGATCCATTGTTTCTTTAGTAAATCGAAATCTGTGCAGTTTGCTCGTACTTCTCCATTGTTTTTCACCCTGTGCTCTTCGCCAATTGTTATGGGCTAAAGCAAAGCGTTTCCTTGGAACTTTCCAAGATGTTCTTCTCAGCACCCCAAATCGTCGATCGAAAGTTCGGGATGATACAACGTGCCCAAATTCATTGGAACGTTCTCTCGACGCCCTTAATGGATGTCGCTTTTATCGTGCGATTATTGGAACAGGAGAAGCTTTTTCAATTGCTTAGCGTCTCTAACCACATTTTTATTTTGGAGTTTTAAAGTATGAAAGTCCTCAATTGTTTATTGCAAGGATTAGCTCACTTGGGATTCCGGGCATTGGCTTTGAACTGTTTTTCCGCGTGTGTGTGGCGTTATATACATTTTGTCGAAATATCTGCAACGCCCAGAAGGAAGTTTCAGGGTATATATATTTTTGATCAGTACCTAGGTTCTGAATAAATTTAAGTATGCCCTTTTGTTCGTTGTCTGTCCGTCTGTCTAATGTCTGTTTTAATTATTCTACTAGCCGTAAAATGAAGCTGTCAGCTTCAAATTTGTCAGAAACATTGGAAAGCCATGCAGGTAAATTGGTGTTAAAAATGGACCTAATCGGCCATAGGATATGCCTACAATACCACCTAAACTGAGAACACTTCTGTTTTTCTAAAGAAATGCAAAGTTCGTTTTTAGTACATTACTCATATGAGATGAAAAAAAAATTTATAGAATTTTGAACCTATATTCTATGGGCGATACTATAGAATTTGTAGAAAAATGAGAAAGATTGACCGCGTCTAGCCAATATTAGAATGTAAGAGTCAGAAGCAAGCTGCAAACACCTCATAAAGTTTATAAATTCTTGGCCAGTTTCAAATATGGAGTGCGTCCAAACATGTCAGTCCGTTCATCTGTCCATCTGTCTATCCCGAGCAATTGTTTAGTATCTGCGGTAAACATTCTACCGATCGCGAAATTGAAGATATCGCCAACAAATTTGCGAAAGACTTTGAAAATGACTTAAACTTTTCAAAGAACACGCCGGCAACGTCCACACGCCAATGTTACAAGGACTGTGAACATTTTTGGTTTCCTTCTTTTTTTTTCATCCTTGCTACTTACAAGTATAAATTTCCACTTTTATTCTCAAAATAGGGAAAATCAGCGGCACCCACCCACTATTAAAGAAAATGAAAATTTAATTCTTTTCTTTCTCGTTTAAGGATCGCCGTGATCGGTACATAAGTTTCGGTCACCAGCGAACATAATTTTCTTTCTTGTTTGTTATTATTGTTGTTCTACACTCTTTATATTGAATACGGATAGGTGCGATTGTTATAAAATTTATAACACAGTGAAAATATGTTAACCTTAAAACAAAGGTAAAGCAAACGGCAAAGTATATGATATATGGCTCAACAGTTAGGTTGATCTTACAACTGAATAACAATATCAGCAATTGATTCGGTTTAGCACAGCGAATGGGTTAAGAAAGTTTGATCTGCTTCGATATATTGCACAATTTCCAAAATACCAACCGCTCTAGCATATTACAATGGGAATAATGAGCAGAGCAACAATCAAGCAAGTTACATAAATATGGCGATCATAAGAAAAAATTAAGAGACCACTACCGTTTCTTCATGTGCACAGATCTGTAAAACTCATAATTTAAGCCGATTACGAAAAATAGCATCCCTTATATAACTCATCGAAATCGAAGAACCATCGTACAAATGGTTACAATGAGAGTCCATAACACTCAACGGAAGGAATAATTCATTATTAGTCGGATAGTGAAGCAGCGTGATAAGAACATGATAGTTACTAGACCGGTACAGAATGCTTAAATTCATTTCATTAAGCAAGACCGCACAATTCACTTCAATATTCAACGGTTTAATAATAAGGGCACACCAAGCCAAGTGCGTCTTTTTAAAGGAGATGGCAAGTTGATAATAACTTTAAGACAACTATCTTAGCGAGGCAACATTTGTTATGTGTGGGGATCTCAACTAAAGTACAGTACCTTATATTACAAACTGTCTCTCTTCTTCTTCTTCTTCTAAGAATAGTAAGAAAGAGAAAGCTTATTTTTTGTATATATTTATCAATGTTCATTTATAGCAGTTATTGTCACAGTTATTTATAACAACAAAGTGCATAGTTATCAAGTGAAGAAATCAATTTTTTTTTACACCAATCATCCAAGGATGGCCATGGCTCACTATAATAATAATATAATTATTATTTTTATTATTATTATTGGGACTAGCTTCATATTCAGTCCAATAGTAATAATCGATTCACTAATATATGCCTATCATAAACAAAAGTTTCCTGCAATGAAATTTCATTCTTCTCAATTTTGTGCTTATGGCGTGATCTCCATTCATAGCCTGTTTTTTTTTTTTTTTGTTTGGTCTAATCGAAATTGTTTTGTCTAATCAGTTCGTAAACATTGTGCCACACTGTGCCAGCAGCACAACAACTGCGAATGATATATCGCATGTTCGCGCACCGCAAACTACGCTACTGATCATTTTTTCCTTCTGAGTAAGTTAAAGCCTCGAAACTGTAGAACTTTAATATTATGATTTGACTTTTTTTTATGTTTTTTCTTGATAAAGTCTCAAATTATAAAACTAAGCTAAATCTAAATGGGATAAGGAATTCGTCTGCCATTTTTAAAAGGTCCCCTTTTTGGTTAGCCTGGTGTTTATTAAATTCACCTCGAAGGTGCATCCAAATCACGTAAAAATATCACCTGGAATACCTTCTGTATACGATATATCGATTAAAGAGATTTTTCAGTCTGTCTTACATGTCTTTAATATCGTAATAGTGCTAGTAGATTGATATTGACTTTTATTTGGTTAAACGTACGTTACGAGAAAATAGCATGAGATAATTTATTCAATGTATTGTCTATCGCTAAGCATTACCTTTGCCATGTCTTAAGCAGAATACGCATTTTATGTAGCAATCACCACTGACTGGCCTTTGTCCAAAGAATCCATTTTTTGGTTGCCGCCACGAAAATGAAAGCTTTGCTCGAAAAGACAATAAGTCATTGTTTAAAACGAATTTTAATTACAAGATGTAGTGTCCGATGAATTCAAAGGCGACAGCAGTACATTCAAGTTCATTGTTTGGAACAACTTTTGAACTCGCTTACCGTTCTCTAATAAAATATTTTCAAATGCATAAGAATTTCGGATAGAGAAATGTCACATCGTTCTGTGCAATTATTCGTAACAACCCCAACGAGTTATAGAAGCACCTGGAAGAAAGGCTTAGAACGAAAGAAACTGACGTTTCGTAAAAATGAGAAAGAGCATATAACAAGTCTATGTTCACTTTCCAACGTAACAAACACCATCAGAAAGAACTCGTAAAACTCTTCTTATTAATTATAGCAACGTTCATAAGCTTCAAATTATCTGATTGTTATTATTGTTAACGTCATACGTTACGTGGCAAGCTAAGACATCTTATAGAGCAGCTCTGCTTGTAATCAAACATTTTTACGATATACATCGAGAGTTGCATTACTATTCGCTTTAAAGTTTATCAAAAGAATAGTTTAAAAAAATGCTGCATATTTTAAGTAATTTTTTTTAATCAAGTCTGAAAATGAATTGATAAAACCGTCAAGTTTAGAATTACAAATCCATTAAATACCCGACTCAAGTTCGCTTAATACAGTTATTTATAAAGTGACTTTTCAGCATAAGGTTTTACATGAGAAGTGGACAAAAAACTGATTTAAGCTGAAACTTTTCCAGTAGCGTTTACGTCAATGTATCTAATATCGAAAAAAAATAAAAAACCTTAAATATTGCACAAATACAAAACGGAACGACGGACAGACGGACAGACAAGCTCAGATCGATGTGCAAATTGGTAGGTTTACCCCAAGTCCTTCTGGATGTTGCATACACTAGGATAAAATTAATGCGCCCTTGGACCACAGGTGGTATATGGTATAGCGTATAAAAGAAAAAAACAAACAAATCATTTAATAGAATAATTGTAATCATTTAAAAGTTGATTGAATTGCTTCTCACTGCGGTTCCAATTAATGTATTTTACATAGCAAGCAGCTAACATACACTTACTCTACATATCATGCATTACAAAAAACTTCATTCATTCATATTTGTTGTTGTTGTTGTTTTTTTTTTTTTGTTTTTTTTGTTTTTGAAGTTCTTTTTGTGAAAAGTTCACTTTCAGCTTTATAGCTATCGTGTGTGCTATGTTTGTATGTAAATAATGGCCCACTTTTACATTTAAAGTGTGCAGAATAAGAACAATATCCTCCGTTAATCATTTCTTGCATCCTTAAAAATTTGAAATAATGAACTGTCGACCGATGAAGTGATGAAGTAAATGATAGATGAATAGACAGACGTGACTACATCAGCTTAGGAAAATATTAATGTAATGAATAGAATTTTCGTTGAATATTTCAAAAAAGAGTAAGGGCTGTTTGCAACAGATTCGATTTTATCACGAAATATATATATGTGTGTAAATGCATGCATAATAAATAAGTAATAGCTTACCTGCATTACCCAATAATTAAATAATGATTCAGTAAACTTATCTCCAATTAATAAAACTGTTGGTATGCATTTAAGATCGATTGAAAGCACACATAAGCAGTAAATTTTATTTTCTTTTTTCTCGATTCGTTTACACATACTTGCTCGTATTTTATGTTAATTTATAAAAATATCCATAGAATAGAATAAATTCGGTCATCTTAAGTGATAGATACGAAGAATGTTTAAACTTCTTTCTTATTCACATCAGTCACACTTCATAATACATTTTAATAACATTTTTCCACCAATATGGCAAAGCGTTATTTAGAAAAGAAAAATAATAAAAAAAAAACGAAACGAAAGAAATCCTTTACAAATAACACAAGGTTGGCATTTTAGCGACGGTTTCAAGATCTAAGCTACGGCAAGTATTATAATAGTATCTAAAATTCATGAAATTTTCCATCAAATCGAATAGGTTTTCGTTGGCACTAAGCAAAGAGTAAGAATAAGAGGAACAAGAAGAAGAAGATGATGATGAAGAAGATGAAAAAGGAAAAGAAAAACGAAAAAAAAAGGGAAACTTAAAATCATTTAATCAACGAAAGTATCTCATTCAAAATACTTTTTTGCAGTTCTCGCTTGATCTCGTAGTTCTCGTTTGTCGATGCGTTTTGATCGACCGCGCACAAATGCCCGCACTTCTTACTAACGCTATCGATAACCGCGTTTAGACTGGCTGACAACATAAGCAAAAGTTCAGCTTAGACGTATTGCCACTACTACGAAATGTTTGTTTTCATTATAATTTACTATGCTATGTGTGTTGCCTTTCCTTGATTCCTTTATTCCAATCTACTGGATATATATATTTTTATGTACTGCCACAACATCGTTTATATATGTTTACGCTAAATCAGCAGACAGTTGAGTTTGTATAACACTTCTTGGCTTTGCTTAAAGTTTAACATTTATAAAGTTTTCTTATTTCTTACCACATACATATACATACTTGATGATATCTTATACTCTGCTTATACATATATTCTCGTTGATAACGCTAAAGAGTTTATTACTTTTTTTTTAAGAAAGGAAAAAACGAACAAAAACTATAAAAGAGAAAAACCGATAAAAAAAAATAAATTAACTCTCTATAGTTAAAGTTCTCTTAAACGTTAGCTTAAACTAAAATGTGTGTATTTGTGTGTTTGTGTGTGTGTGTGTGTGTGTGTTGTGTGTGTATACATGTGTGTGTGTGTGTTTGGGGGGGTTAGAGGGATTAAGCCAGTTTACTTGCAGATCTCTTTTGTTTTTCTGTTTGAAGAGCTTAAGAGCCGCGAACATCGCGTATAAGAGTTTCTTGCAAAAACCCTATTTTTGCCCATATATTTTTTCTTCTTTCAATTGAAACGATTAAAAAAAGCAAAAGGAACAACAGCAAATCAAGTTAAACAATTTATTGTTTTTTAAGCAAATTTCCTATCATAGATATCAAGCTTGAATACACCGTAAACTTTTCCATAGCATAGAGAGAAAATCTATTCAGTTTTTTTTTTTTTTTCTTTTTTTAACTTTTTTTTTTTTTTGTTTTATGCACATTGATTCTGATGAAAATTTCATTTCATTTCAATTCTAACGATGTCGCTTTAACTATCAATTATTCATTTTCTCGAGATAATAAAAAAGTACAATAACAACTGCTTCTTATTTCTATCAATCAAAAAGGAAACATTTTATTTTAATGACTTCATTCAATTCAAGTTGTTAAACACATTTCAGTTATAATTATAAATTCTTGTTTTACTATACGATACACACATACAAATATTGAAAGCAACCAATCGCGCAAAAGAGCTGCTCGCATATCGACAGATTAAGCCACACACTGCCAGTGAGAATAAAAAAAACAAAAAAAACAAAAAACAAAAGAGTATAGAAGCGATAATAAGCAATTTACGGGTATGTGTGTGCGTCTTTGGATGTCAGCAACATGTGTATATTTATGTTTATGCTTATGTGATATACTCTTGTGTTACTATCATATTTATACTAACAAAAACACACTGCGAGAAAAAAGCTTGCAGTTCATTTCTGTACCGGCGAACTTGTGATTAAGATTAATGCAAAATGAAAACCTGAAATTTTTTAAACACTGCCGGACTTTTTATCACGAATGATACAACCCATTGAGGGATAGTTACTTAGTCTATGCATGATTCCATGGCGAGAGTCCGATTCATAGATGGCTGTGCCTTTGTTCCGTACCATTTAAATCAAATCTATGGGAAATGATTTATTAATTAAATATTTTAAGCATATCTTGAGTGAAAATGGAAATAAAAAAAAAAAAACTTATTTTCAATAGATTTCGATTTGTATACCGAGAATGGCGTAGGCGAAGACACGAGTTACGGTTGCTTGTGGAAGGCACCGCTTACTCTCGCCAACCATTAAGCACTGCTATCGAACGTTCACCGTAAATCAACATAACAAGGAAATTCTTACGGTAATTATCCTAATTTTGAAAGCGTTCTCATTCACCAAGAGTATATCTCGGCGATGGGAATCATACCATGCAGCAGTCATCAAAAGTGTCAGGACCCATCTAGTTGCAGACTTCTCTACTACCCGTTCAACTATTACGCGAGCTCAAGATTTAACAAACACGTCTTCGAGCCGAAAGACCAAAGAAGTAATAAAATGAGTTGACACCGCAGCTGCACTAAAATCCATAGATGAAAACTTGGACAGCAATTCAGAAAATATAGATAATCTGAGTGCAAGAGTATACAGTCCGCGTATATCCGACGGTCCGTTAGCCATCTATCATCGCAAAAATTGAATTTTGAAAAAATACATTTTTGATCGATCACCAAACATAAGATTGGAAAAATGGCTTCATTCCATTTCCGAGCACGCCCACGATAAACCAAATATTGTAACTTATAATCCCCAATAGATATTTTTCCAAATGCAAGTCTTGTGTGCACATTTTTGCTCCCTTCGAAGGGATAGTTCACAAGTTTTGTGTACCGATTTAAGGTAGGAAGGTAGGAATCATTAAAAGTGCGCCTAAACTGAATATAATCTTTTTAGTTCTTAATAAGCTCTTAATTAATAACTGCATAGCAAATCATGAATAAAAATGGTTCGTTAAATTATATTAAGAGTGAAAAATCAAAGCAGATGATAACTAACCAATTAATTATTATTATTATTATTATATATTAAGAGAAATAAGAAAACTATATTTACATATATATACTGACTGCTGGTGTAGACTGACAAAGATCACTTGTGTGCTCGACTTTCATATATTAGAAGTCTTAGATCAACACTTACTTTCTCTTAAAGAATAGATTTTTGCGTACTATTGTGGTGCTTACGCATAGTTGCGTGATAGTGTTTACGCAATTAACAACATGTGAGAAATCAATGCATAGACAGACATGGCTCACATACTTATCAAGAGTACACTCTGACGCTTGTTTTCACTAATGAGTTTGAAAACTTATTTCCAAATGAGAAAAATCTTAATCTGATTTCATATGCGTTGTAATAAGGTATTGCGTTTTCACATACACAACTCATCAGGAAGACTGTACGCAATGATAGCGCACTTGATGGCTTTTTGCGCGTATATTTAAAGAAAGCTTAGCGTCGTCTCGTTTGTCGGATTCAAATCGGCTTTACAAAGTTGAACGATTATTAAATATCATACAACAGTTGTTACACCCTACAACAATTGTGGTAAAGAGGTGTACAAAATTTGTGCGGGAGCATACAACACCAAGTAGGAATCAGAATCATTTTCTTTTCAACTCACAGATCGCAATTATTGAGATATTTTGATGAAATCTGATATAACGACATGTTTTAAGTCCAAGAACGAACGCTATTGAAAATAGCCAGGATCGGATCATATTGTCAACCACTTGCTATACAACGCCTTATTTTAAAAAGTTGTTATATGAATACCTGTTGGATGCTGTGGGGTATTTAATGATACACCATGGCCCGCTATAGTGTACATTTACTTGTTAGTATTTGAGCAAAAGAATTATTATAAGCGAATACTGCGGTAAGAGTCTATATCCAGAGTTATCTTTCAGACGAACACAAAAAATATTGCTCTAAAGTGTGTTTTACTTATAAGCTAACTTTGGATGTGCTTGCAGAGAGACTATAAATCTTTCTTTAAGTAATATATATATACATATATATATGTACCCATCTGCACATTACAACAGCATACTATATATTATGTTAGTGTTGTAGCTCGAACGCAGATCATAGCAACACCCCTGCAGCAAACAAATCACTTAAGGCTTAATGTAACGTCAGTTAATTAATACATCGCTACCGTATATACAACGCAGTCTTCAATGCTGATAATAATGACAGCCCCCATGTGTTTGTAGTTAATTTTTTTTTTTGCGCTTTTCAAAGTTTCTGTTTGATATATTCGTTCATTATCAAATCATATAATAATATTATCGTTTCGTGAGAAATTGTCAGCCTTTTTTAAGATCGAAAGCGCTGTTATCTATATAATAGAATATTTTCTTTCAAGCACTTTGAGTTCCTTTTAAAAATACCTATATATGATATATGAGTAGACTTAACTAGAAAAGCTAATCTTGCCCTTATAACGTACAGGGAAGAGTGCTTTGAATAATCTGATTTAAGTAGACATTTTCAAAAACCTCACGAAGCCTCGATTCTAGTAAGATAATAGAACAACCGCTTGGAGATTTCAATTGGATTAACGCTCATTAAGTTCGTCAAGATCTTCAAAGATTATGTATTCGACTGCCCTTATCAAAGTCAAAACACAATTTATGGATTTAATTTGTCTGAAATTTGAAGCAAAAATTATGACTAAATTCGTGCCTGACTTGATAACTCAGCAGTGTTTCTGCTTACTACACAGTCTTAGATTTCTCTGGTTATGTATTCGACTGCCCTTATCAAAGTCCAAATACAATTTATGGATTTAATTTGTCTGAAATTTGAAGCAAAAATTATTACTAAATTCATGCCTAACTTGATAACTCAGCAGTGTTTCTGCTTACTACACAGTCTTAAATTTCTCTGGTTACGTATTCGACTGCCCTTATCAAAGTCCAAATACAATTTATGGATTTAATTTGTCTGAAATTTGAAGCAAAAATTATTACTAAATTCATGCCTAACTTGATAACTCAGCAGTGTTTCTGCTTACTACACAGTCTTACATTTCTCTTAAACATTGAGGAATAATGACCAATCATTGATTTCCAGATAGATGCCGCAGATAACCATCAATCTTTCGCAACACCAAACACAAAAAC